TTGTCAGTCTGTCAGTCACTCCTCTGGCAGTGTTTGAAGTTGGGCAAAAATATCTCAAGTTCGCAAGGAAGAAATTGCCTCAGGTGATCATTCGCCATCCCGGGGTCTCTGGCCTGTCGGTTAAGCAAGCTGCTTGGTCTTCATTTATTAAAGTATTCGTAACAAACGCCCAAATATTCGCAGCTGTCACTTCTCATTCTTCAGAATCATTGCTGTACACCAAGACCGGTTGGAACAAGTGTGGAATATGTGAACATGAACTTAAAGACCAGTTTCAAGTAAATTTAACTCAACGAAGTTTTGTGAACAGTCGTTAACGCTTAATATTAGTAAGGTTTTATATTTCTAACTGGTCTGTGCCATTTGTACGACTTTTGATAACTGAAAATCCTAGAAATGCAGGAAGATGAACAACAGTAGCAAGGTGGAGCGGAAAGAAGAACTAAAGCATGCTGTCAGCAATGAAAGTTTTAAGTAGTAGTAGTGATATTAAGCAGAAAGGACAGAGAGTACCTGACTCTCTTGCACGGCCATTTTCAGATGTTCGTGAGCGACCATCAGTTTAGATGATTCTTCCTTGCGGAGGGCTCGCTCCTTTTTCAGTTCCGGACTCCAAAACGTTCTGATACTGTTCATCATTGCGTTAAGCTTTTGAGAACTGCTGTCCAACTCTCGGCGGAGCGCGTCGCGATCCATCGGTATCGAAGAAGCGGACACAGACGACGAGTTCAGGTCTCGTTCTTGGTACGATGAGCCGCCACCTCTTCCGGCGTAAGAGACAATATTCGATGATACATCGGTCGGCATAGTGAACACCGATGTACTACCGTAGGGAGGGTCTCGTTGACTACCGCAAGCGAAGCGGGCCATTTCACTAGATAAACCGTCTCCGGTGTCGGTCAGTGGATTCGGGTAGCTCGGATAATTGGTTGTGACCGTCGCCACGTTGTTATTCAATGCTCTTGTGGCAGAGTACTGTCGTCGTAGCGAGCCAGGCGATCCGTATAGAACTGGCATCAAGATCTGAGGATCAGCCGGGGGTACAGGATCATTACCATAAGTATCGCCTACCATCGGCATAAAACTGCTTTCACAAGAACTGTGATGCCGAAGGGATGCAACAGCTGCCCGACGCGCGTTTATGGGAGTAGAATCAAAACCAGACGACGGGTAATAAGCACCATTATAACTGGGTATCGCATCGTTGCAGTTAAGCGCTAAAAATGAGGATGGTAAAGAAGCGGACACATCTGACACAAACGCTTCTGACTTCAGAGACGAGGCATAAAGCGAATTGTTCAAAACAGCTCTATCGGGACTGTTGTACGCCGATGCAGGATCAGACAACGAATAACTATTGTAGTTCCTAGAAAGCAATGGCGATGCAGGTGCGGTGCGCGATGCTCCTATGCGTGAGTACAAATGAAACACGCCATCTTTGTCTCTCGTCGGGTAATCCATGCGATCAGCGGACAAGGAAAACATGTGCACTTGCGTTCAGTCGTCACTCCGAAATGCATCAAAGTTACTCACTGGCCGGCAGATAATTCTAAAACAAAATTAAGCATCAGAAAAGTGCTTAGTGGATGATTAATTTAGAACTTTTGTTTAGAAACACTGTTCCTGCTAATAACTGTCTACACATGAACAAGAATTTTATGGTCGTAGGCTTGCTATTAGAAAAATTATCACGGTTAGATGATAAACCAGTGCTACATCATTCTTGAAAAATGAATGGAAAACTGCCATCAGTATATCAGCCACATTCGGCATGTGTGCGCGTCTGTGTCACAATAATTCGACAAAATAATGTACGCCAGAATATGGACTTTTCCCTTAAAAACAAGGAATTCAATGCGTCGGATGTGTTTCAACCATCTTACTGGCACAGAATACTAGATTAATAACTGAACGTTAAGGTCACAATTACTGAATTACTCAAGTATGCTAAAAAGGCATATAAGGAGTACATCGAATAAAGATTAATATCAATTTTCACTCTTCGGCAATGCGATACGATGGAAAGGCAAGCGGTTGATCATCACAATGATTCAGGGTGCGATAAACGCATGCTGGTAAAAAAATTCATGGTTCGATCGTATGAGGGACGACGTGATTACAACTGACCTGGGCTAGCGTCGTTAATAAGCTGCAGTCATATCTTACTGTAGTCATAAAAGGCAAAGCAAAATAGTCTTAAACATTGTTTTACTTTGAAGCACGTCGCTAAGCAAAGGGACACTGAGTAAGATGCTAAACATTGGAAACTGTACAAAATAAATCTATCGCGCGGTGTCATTATATAAACGACTTTTGCAATTTTGAACTTCTTTTTTCGCATGGTTTGAGGAGGCTAGAGCGACTAAAAATTGTACGTTTGAATGTTCAGATTTCTAAACCGACTAATGGCTAGGCGGCATTAATCTGAATATTGAAACTGCATTGCGCTCAGCATGACTGAATAATTCCGAAAATCAGAACGCTGGTTGTTGCAAATATGGCAAGCCTTGTAAATGAATCCTGAACAGTTACAACTGACGTCACGCGAAATGCATCATTAGTTTAATTGACAGCTTCATTGGATACTTCAGTACGATGACGACTTTCCTTCGGAATTTCCATAAGGTAGTTTTTGCTTGGCTAACTTACAGTATTTCAGACTGTTTT